ACTAATTGCAAAATCTATAGAAAAGTCCTTAGAACATCAAAGGCTCACTTGATCCTCAGAGCTGTTATAAATGAAAAACTGTCTCTGTTACAAGCAAATAAGGCACTTAATGCACTCTTTCTGGCTGTGATGCTATTTTTCCTGTGGGTTTTGAAAATGACCTTCCTGTAAGTATCAAGGACTGTAACTTTTCAGATAAAGAAACTGGTTCTTGTTTTAAGTCTATGCCAGGCTCATTCCCCTATAGCCCACAGTTTTCAAAAAGAGAAGAAAAAGTAATCCAGAATTAAAAAAATAAAAAAAAACCCTCTGTTTCCAGAGCAAGTTACCCTGTCAGCTTGCCTTGGGCCTTAGGTGGAGAAGTAGAGATTAAAGAGTCAGTATTCCTTTTCATGTTTCGTCTGCCAGTTTTGTGAATGTAGAAAGAGTACTTGTGGCTGTAGCTAAGTATCCAACTGTGGTATTAAATATGGCATTTTCATTCTATTGCAGTAAATTAAAAACACTTTTATAAGTTTATTACAACAGGAATTTGGTATCAATACTATATTCAGTCATTGATAAAGGTATTACAAGGAGAAGGCTGAATAGCACAGCAGATGTAACCTCAATATTTTCACTAATTATAAAGAACCTCTTTGTGAGGCTGTGTGAATATGTAAGATGATCTCATCATTTCCTATTTACTCAATACTTACCTGAATACGCAATATAGTGTAGCTTTTAAATGCATACGAACATGAGTAGAATGTCCTTTTGTAAGAGACCTTGCTAAAAGACTGCTTTTGATATACAATTTCTTCATCTCCTCTTCAAACTGAATTAAGCTACTTCCTTCTTTTAAAACACAACTCACTATTTAGAAGCTTTGGCTTTGATTTCTCAGAACAGCCTCACAGGAAGAAACCATGTTCTTTTTCCTTTTGTAACCATATTTCTGAAGACAAACTTGTACTGATTTATTTTGATTTCTGAACAGAAATAGGTTCCTGCAAAGAACACTGACTGTTTCTTCTTCTCCCCCCTCCTTTGCTGCACTGCTACAAGTATATTGCTGAGCACAAAGCTACCAAGGAAAACTGAAATCCCTCTGTTGGGAACAGTGTACATAGCAATATATTCATACTTTGAGAAACAAGTGAGATTTTTAATTTAGTTTTTAGCATTACGTACTGTGTTTCTTGCATGCTAACCAACTGAATTGAAGCTGAGTAAGTAATGTCTAAGCAAATTTTATACAAGTTTAACATCTACCATTTTAGGGAATATGACACTCATTTTAAAACATTAGCCCTCAGTAATTAACTTTGACTAAAGGTTTTATATAGATACATGTGTATATATACATATATATGTATAATTATGTGTTTTCTTTTTCCTAGTGTGTAGAATTTTCATTCTCTTCCTCACAGTTATACTGATTGTAAAAACTGCTCCTGACAGCTATTTAGCTGAGAAGTCAGTGTTTGAAAGATTTCTCTTTATTTCCATACAACTTGGCTTGGTAACAAGGTCTTTTTTCTCCTCTCTGTTATAAGTACGTAACTTCCATTAACATTTTGGAGACATGCATGTATTGGCAGGAGAAACAAAGTCTGTAAGAGAAGTCACCTTTTGTGCTGTTCTTACAAATAGGCTGATATACCCAATCCTGCACAATCGCATCCAACTTCAGTCATCTGAGAAATCCCACTGATGTGGTCCCAAGTCTTACTTTCCCACATACTTTGTCTCCAGGCTGGATATTCCATGTATGTTTTTCTAAATAGAAAACAGTTTTGCTAGCAATTTTGGTAACAAACAGAAACTTAAAACTCTGTATTTCTCAGTGTACAAAAACACAGACCTGAATTCAGTAAGGGAATTGTCTTAAATATATTCTGATTAACCTCAGAATGTGTTCCAAATGCTATTATATTTTCCTAAATTTATGCTAAACTGAAATGGGTTATCTGTTACTAGTAACAAAACATAACTTCAAAAGCACAGCTTAAGTTGGACTAATTCTGTACTTCATTTATTCTCAAAACCAGTAACTTCATTAATGGACTCCCCATACCTGTAAACTGAAGATCCTTAAATAATACTATAAATTAGAAAACATATCAGATGTTTTCATTCTTTCTCTTGCATCACATTGAGAATTTTTTTTTCCAAGTTACAGTATGATCTTTCAAACCTCGGTTGAGTCTATCCAGTATACTCTCAAAGGATGTAAGAACCAGATTCAGCAGCACAGCACAGCTGGTCTGCCAGACAATCTCTTTACAGAGAGAATTTTTATATTGAATCGTGGGACTTCCTCAAGAGCATGGTCCACAAATCTCTAATATGAAATGTGCCTTAGACAGTTACAGGGAGAAAAATTCTATGTATGTGGCAATATATCTGAGCTGGCCAAATAGAGAGGGGGAATTTGCAGGAACATGAACTTCACGGAAAGCCTATTTTCAAGATAGTATTTCAGATTTTCTTTGGGTGCTCAGTAGTTCAAGAGTCTGAACTCTGTCTGTAGATTTTTTGCATGCAACACCTATACATTGAATTCTGCCTTAAAAAAGCACATTTTCCTTCAGAAATGGCTTGTAAGGTTTTAGTTTTCCCTCTTTCCATAGCTCTGAAATGAATGCTCAGTGCAGCTCATGACACAGACTTTTCCAGTGGTGCCAATGTACCTCTTACAACCAATGTAAGAGGTACTGAAGGAGGAAATGTCCAGAATGAAATGGACTGAATGGACTAGAGGATCTGGGTCTCCATAACTATCACTGTGCAGGATTGCTGTGTCAAGTCACTGTATAGTGACTCACCTTGACTTTCAAATATCCACTATGGGCAATTATGAGGATTCATCCTTTAATACTTATATATCATGGTAGATTTGGGTAGAAATTGTTATAAAGAGGACAGCACAAACGATAGGTACGTATGCAGGTAGAATTTACTAGTTACTGCATGTAACTGTGCAGCTTTCAGGAGAGGAAACAATATCACTGTAGACTTCCATGCATATAGATATTACTGTCAGCTGAAAACGAGAGCATTTTGAATGTTCTTTTTTACTGAAATGGAAAAGTCTACCATAATCAAAACTTACAGCAGTTTCATCCCTTATTTTTCATAACTAATGAATTTGGACTAATTTATGTGAGATTGTTTTATAAAGTAGCATGCAACATTGGTTTGACAGAAATGCTGGGTAGTCAGTTGTAAATATTTTATCTTTATTCTACTGTATAATGAAGTTTTGATGCCAATGAATTACTGTAGCAGGATACTTAGAGTTTGGAATACAAAAATAAAAAATTGGGAACAGTTACAGATCTTTTCTAGAAACAGACCTAGTTGAGTAGAGACTGCTGCAAAACAAAAGGACTCAGATCACACACATATTTGTTCATATTGCAGCTGACTCTGACATTGAACTTTTTACATGCTCTTATTCATTCAACTGTTGATAAATCAGAGTAGGGGGGGGACTCCGAGGTAGGAAAAAATCCGCGTATGTAGGGATGCCTCTGTAAATGTCCTTTTTCTGTAGATATATGTACAGGGATCGTATAGGGATCTAGATACAGATACACAGAAATGTATAATTAGGAGTATAGACATTTGGTTAACTTGAAAGCTCCAAAGTATAATTTGTCACATTTATGGCACGAACTTTAACTGCCTTAAATACTTACTCTTTTTGAAAGTGACTTTTTTCTTTTCCCTTTGCAAAAAATAAAAAATAAAAAAATATAAATGTACTTCATGAAACCATTGTATATGAAGCACTTATTAGCCGTAATTAAATGGACAATATGAATTTACTACATCTTTAGGACTCTGGCTTGTTCTGGTTTAGAGCAAGATGATTAATGCAAATACATATTACTTGAGATAACCATTTAGCAGCTAATTTAGCCAAATTTATTACAGCAGTTAGAGGTTTTTCATTTTAGCAGACGGAGACAAGGACGTGACAAAAGCAGAAGGAGTATACGAATGCACAGTGCCCTCTAGTGTACAAAGCTTCACAGGATTAGTGAGAATTGCAGACAAGAGCAAGCATTCATGTAACAATAGTACCCAGATTTTGTATAGTTTAGATTTTCTTTAAAACTATGCAGCGTCCATCCTTTGAAACATTTGCATTTCATCCCATTTTCCTGACACTGTGGCATCAGGCACAAAGCAAATCCATTTCAATTTGGCAGTATTTTGGTTGAAATGTTACTTCAAACATCTGTATTTTTAAGCCTTCTTTCTGCAAGCATATAATAGCATCGTTTCACATTACTGATTTCTTTTACTTATTTCTCTGTTTCTTAGCATATTTCAAACATTGGAGAGAGCTGTCACTCTTTGGCTCTAACCAAGTCATTCTGTGCTTCCCTTAGGCCTCTTTCTCAGTCTGCTGGTGGATTTACTTTGCTCAGGTAGAAGTAAATTCTCCCAAGACTTTCCCCCTACTGACCAGTGGAGATTTGGTTCATCTGAGAACTGTAAATTCTGTTTGACAAGATCAAAGAAACAGATGTATAAGTTCAGTAGTTGATATCGCCTGCAATAAGGAAAAATGATCAAAGCAGCAGGGGTAGAGTATCTTCCCAAACCTTTCAAATATCCAGAATCTCAAAGAGGTCTACCTAGGAGCTATGAATAAATCACATATAAATTTGCCTCTTTTTTTTCTTTTTCTTTCTTACAGTTTGAGTGCATTGAAAATGTCCACATAGCAATAAGTATTCTGTGAGCCAAAGAGATTTGTAGTTCTTTTCACTTTTCTTCTTCCACTAGAGTTTCCAAAACCAGATTAAAAGTAAACTTTAAAAGCTTGTAAAGCATACAAGCCATCATACTGAGCATCAGATGCCATTTGCCATCTCATTAAACCTAAACGAAGTTCAGAATCTTTTGCTCAAACATGTTGGATGTTGTACAATGAAGATCATTTTACTACAGTTCTAATATGCAATATATCTTGTTTCTATTCTACTTGTATTTTTCCCCAGTGTTAAATAAGGGTCAGTGTGTAACAAAGTATTACCGCTGGATGCAGAAGAATGGAGGTTATATCTGGATACAGTCTAGTGCAACCATAGCTGTCAATGCCAAGAATGCAAGTGAGAAGAATATCATCTGGGTCAATTACCTTCTCAGGTACATCTTCCAATCCCTTCTCTCTCTTGAACTGCTCTCTCTATTGCTTAACTGTGCTTGTGAGAGTTTTAGGAAAAAACAATTGCTTGCTGTAGAGTATTAATGAAAACAACTTTTTCCTATGGTCTGCTATTTGGTTGAATGTATTAAGAAATCTGTCACATCTCAGTACACTGGAATATTTTTGAATTATTATGCTGCTTTAGCATTCAAGTAAACCTTCCATCATTTTACTGCATGCCTTCACTGTCCTGAAGTCTACCCAACCTGAGCTGAAATGTAGAAAATTCACACCAACTTGCAGTGGCTGTATTATAAAATATGGTATGAAGTGCTGGGCACTGGTTTATTTGGTTACTAAAAATGCATGGAAGCAAACTTCCTAGACAACTATGAAAAAGAAAGGTGTCTCTGAAAAATATTCAGCTCTCACTCTGAAAAGCAGAATTTTCTCAGAAGAAAAATCTTGAAATAATGTGTTACTCTTATAACGATTTGATGGTATTCACTTTTAAAACTGCAAAATAGGATTCACAAGCAAAAGTAGTTTTTAAGATTATTTGAAACCAAAACAGTGAAAGATTCTTCCCTGAAAAATTCTGTTTTACCAAGCACAAGTGTTTTCAAAGGACAGGTTTCTGAGCTCAAGGGAAGGCCAACAGCCAGTGAGAGACAGTGAATTATAAACCTGACCTTTCTCATCTGAAAATACTTTTCAACACATTCTGCCCTATTAGTGTTCAATAAGATTGGGAGATTTTCTGTTTCATTCCAAAGCAAACAAAACAAATAAAATTTGAAACCTTGAGATTGTTGAGAAATGCAATTGTCATTTTCTGACCTGTTCTCCTTTTAAATTGCTTGTCGTGGTTTGCTACATTCCCTTTGATGCCGTGAGAGCTCTAAGTGATCTGCAGAGGTTAGAGTGTGACTTTATGCCAACTCCAGCAAGCCCATGCCTGCCTAAACTTGCATGTTGAATTACTTTTGATATCCCTATTGAGGAAGAGAGGGAAGCAACCCCCAGCAGGAGAGCACTGAGGGAGTCCATGAGAAACCTTCCGTGGAGATGGAGTGTAATTTGACTGGTGTTAGTTGCTTCTGCCCTGCTATGATTAAGCATGGGTGTTTCCAAAGATATCCTTATCCTTCAATTTTTGTGTCTTCTTTAAAAAAAGTGGATGCTCATCATCCACAGAGTAAAGTGTTAACTGAGCTTGCAAGAGAGAGGCAGAATGCGGCATTTCAAGAGTTCAGCTTGAGCCTGCCAATTCTGCACTGGAAGTACACCTTCAATGTCCCAGTACTAACAGGGCTTCATACTGCTCAGAAATGTATTCATTTTCTATTAAAAAAAATATAAACAGTTGCCTCTGCCCCCTTTGCTGCTTTTCACACAGTGGCTGAACTCAATCCTTAAATGTTCTATGAAATTATTTTCTGTAGCAACAGACTAAATCTAACAAAAAAAAGGAGAGAAACAGTGTGGTCTTACTCAAGACTGCTTCCAAACTTGACTTTTCTACTACATTCCCTTCACTGGTTTGCTAAAGAAAGATTAATTTCTTCAGTTAATTTGTATTTTTAATTTAGATTTATCTTAGTACTGGAATCCATGAAGGGTCCAAACCATATTTTAATGGCAGATCAAGGCATAATTAGGTCTACTCTGAGCCAGAGTAGACTGGTCTGTATACATTTCCATGCATTAGAAAGTACGATTCAGCTGTCTGCAAAGAGATAGACTAATTATAGCGTCAGGGAGGATTAATGCTGTTCTTGTTCCAGCAACTTGTTATTCACAGTGTGAAAGCCCTCAAGCATCTTTTGCTTACAGGGGGCAAATTTGGGGACTGCCCTGGGATGCAACAGAATAAAGTCACTTTGTCAGGACAAAACCATAAAGATGGTAATTGTATGAATGGCATTTCAGTGTGAGCTGTGTGAACTCTGAATTTTCTCACTACGCTGTAATAGACTGAATATGGGCACAGTGTCATTGTGATAGTGTGTCAGTCACCCCTAGTCCTGCCTCACATTGTTCTACATAGGACTGCAGATTTTCTGCTCTATCACGGGGAAGGAATTTGAGTTGCTTAGAAATGTTCATCTATTCAAAAATGATTAAAGACTTTGTTTATTTTCAACATTCCAATGCCACTTTTGTGCAGCTGTGTTCCTCTCTCTTTGCACTGGTTTGGAAAAGGAACACATTTTGGAAAGTGCAAACCAGGAAAAAGCTTAGCATTTTCTTCAGTTTCTCTGTTAGTATAGCTTTTTTGCATTGCAGTCGTGTTCGTTGCTAACAAGTCACAGGTGAGCACCACATGAGCAGCTGAAGATATGATTATAATGGGTGTGTTGACAGTTCTTTATCCCTAACATGTGCATCTTAACATGCATATGTGCATCTGTCATAGAGTGGTTGCTTACAGTTTCTTGGTGATGTGGATCCATGTGTGCAGTATTTTAAATATATATATATTTAAGGATATATATATCCTTTTTAGTTATCTCCTGGCCAAGCTCTTTTGAGTAGTGGTCATTTCCTCTAGCCCTAACTGATCACCTTCTTACTAATTTTATGCATGATCTGTTTTTTGAGAAAAATCACTTGTTAAAATGGCCCTGGGAAGGTTGATATATTTTTACAGAGATAATTCTAATAGATGTTGGTGGTGGAAGAGAAACAGGCTGGAAAAGTTACAGCACACTCCTTGTATTTCCAAGCACAGTAATGGATGGAGTTGAAATAGAAATATTCTGTTGTTCAGTGATGGCACAGTATGTTAGATATCATACAAACCACTGTGTCCCACTTTGGTAAGAATACTTTCTTAGCTCTGAAACTTCACTAGAATGAAACAGTTTTTATACCTGATCAACATAATTATTTGACAGACTATTAACATACCCTCATAAAATCCCTGCTGTAAAGCTCTAAGGAAACAAAAACCTATGGTTTTGGGTTTGCTCTGCTATTCTTTCTATTTATGTTCTCTGATATGTAAAGAAGAAAAAACATGCAACTACAAATCATCCAATTGTGGTTATATATGCTGTCTCTTCTTCAGTAACCCAGAGTACAAGGACACTCCCATGGATATTGCACAACTTCCTCATCTGCCAGAGAAAACCTCAGAATCCTCAGAGACCTCTGACTCTGAATCAGACTCAAAGGACAATTCAGGTAACACAAATGATGTATCCTTCTTTATAGTCACAGAAGGTCCATTACATGAAAGCCACATGGTTGCCTTTCCAACAGCTTCTCAATGTTTCTCAAGGAGTGTTTTGTTACAACAGCAAAAAACCTTTAGAATTAAGTTGAAGAAATCCAAGACAATATTTTAATAACCTCAGCATTTTTACAGTATCTCAATTTCCTCAAAGTTTCTATTAATTCTGTGGCTACATCCTTGCCTACACTGCACTGAACAAAATATTTGGGTCTCCAGCTAAGCTTCATAAAGAGGTGTTTGCCTTATGAAAGACCATGGAATTGTAACTGTTGAATATAATTATAATTTTTATATTTCAAAAGCAGTCAAACTTTCTGAACATAAATATCCACCATCAGTCTCCATGACCTTTTTTCTTATAGAAATGCTTTTTTTATTATTATTAGTCTCACTGGGGAACAACGAAGACTGCAAGGTTTTAGGGTCTTCTTGGGTTAAAATAATTACAATTTATTGGAAGGTATAGGTTCAAGCACTTTTTTCTAAGCTCTTAAAGTCTAGGATTCAGCTATGTTTTAAAAGCTAAATGTAATTCTCAAACTTAATATATAAATTAGTTTTACAGATGGTCCATGCACAGATGATTCACTGTGATTATACATGCCCAGGTACAGATTAACTGGCTTTTAAAGGAAAATGTTTGTCCATAGCCCAAGTTGAGGTTACTTGACTGCAACACATACATATGATAACATTTAAAAAAGAAAAGAAGAACCAAAATTGGAAAAAAGCACTACTGGGTGTGCTTCCTTTATACTGTCTTGTTTCTAAATAGCCAAAGAGCACAGATGTGAAGAAAAGTTTGCATTTCTCATGAGCACTCTAAGTTTCTCCAGGTGAGATATACACATATGGTCATAACTCCTAAGGCTGACTCAGACCATGAGGGTATTCTTTAATGGTGCAGAGATGTGTGCATCCTAGAAGATGTCTACAGGCCTTACTAGACAGCAGAAGAGAGGGTTGTTTCTTGCAAAATAATTGAACAGAAATTGCAAGGGATCTGAAATCAGAGCGCTGTATTGGATGCAACCAACAAGTTCAGTTCAAGCTCTGATAAAATCCCAGACAAATTTTGTGCAGTTTTAGAATCCTTCACCATAAACCCACACTTGTCCAACTAGAAATCAGGTCTAGAAGACATCTTTAAAAATTATAAGTGAAACTCAGACCCAGATTGCTGCAGTTTTTGGAGTGTTGTGGCTCTTCATTTGTTTCTGTGGGTTTTGTTTTTCAAAATGAGAGGTCTCTCTGTTGTTAATGACTCAAGCAGAAGTCTCTCCAAGCAACTTACTTGAAATTAATACAAAGTGTACTGCCCTGAATCCTCAGGCGGCTTCCCCATCAGGCCTACCTACTACAACGTTTCTAGCTCTGTTTGGTATTAACATGGCTTCAGGAGTAACCATTCTGTAAAAGAAAACTGCCCCTTCCCCTCTCAAACACAAATGTACTGAAAGGGGCAGTACTTGGCCCTGATGAGTGGAAAAAAAAGAAATCTTTTATTTCCCAACAAAAGATATCTGGCTGTTTTGTAAAAGACGGGGTCTCCTGAAGCCTTTCATGACCCTTTCAAACACAGCATGATAATGGAGAGTATTCATTCTCATGAGTCCAGTGGACTAGAGTGTTTATCTCATCCGTATTCAAATTAGGTAAAAAAAATCTAAAATACAACTGAAAGAATTCAGGCAAGAAGAGTGACAGCTTCTCAGTGCTGTAGATGGGCTGCTTTCAATGGCCCTTAGATAATTTGGATCAATCGAGAATTTAATTCGCTGCCTGAATCTTTTTTTCTGTGTTTTTTTTCCTTGCCCTTCAAGAGAATATGAAAAGCCAGGCTAGCAACGTAACAAAATTGTTTAAACTGGTTTATTCATTCAGATTTATACACATATGACCTGCTTCTCCTCTCAATACTGGAGGAGAGTGGCAGAAATTCCACAGCAGTCAGAGTAGCTGTGTCTCTTCGAAGTGGTGAAGGTGAAGGAAAATGAGATGACTAAGAATCCTCATTAGTTAATAGTGCTACATTTTGATGCCTTCCCACTTGAGGAGAACACATAAGTGAAAGAACAAGAATCAGAGCATAATGGTCATAATGGGATTGTTCACTGACTCCTCTTCCTTCAGGTGAAACAGGGCTCTCGTGCTCACAGTTGTAAAGACAGTTCTTACCAACAGAGCAGATATAAAGGGCTCCTCATCCAAGGTGCCTTAGTATATGCTCAAGAAAAATTCAGGCCAGACAGATAGCACAGGCCTTTAGTGCCTTGAAAATCCCAGGTCAGAGAGATTAATGGTGATCAAAACTCCGCCAACACCATATTGCAAATAAACATGACTACAGAAGAGAATGCCTCATTGGTAGGTAGAAATCTAGATTTGGGCTGTAATATTATATTCTTATTGCTAATGATTTGTTTCACTTTCCTTTTGCTTTAGAGGACAATGAGAACTCAAAGTCAGACGAGAAAGGAAACCAGTCAGAAAACAGCGAAGACCCTGAATCTGACAGGAAAAAGTCAGGAAATCAGTCAGATAATGAAATGAACTGTAATGATGATGGGAACAGCTCCAGCAACCAGGACAGCAGGGACAGTGATGACAGCTTTGAGAATTCGGACTTCGAGAATCAAAAAGCTCCTGAGGACAGTTTTGGCACTCTTGGTTCTATGCAGATCAAGGTGGAGCGTTTTGTTGAGAGTGAGTCAGACTTGCGGTTGCAGAACTGTGAATCACTGACCTCGGACAGTGCCAAGGACTCAGACAGTGCAGGGGAAGTAAATGCCCAGTCTTCTAGCAAGCATCAAAAGAGGAAGAAGAGAAGAAAAAAGCAAAAGGGAGGCAGCATGACCAGGAGAAGGCTGTCAAGCACCTCAAGCCCAAACGGACTTGACTCAGCTTTGGTAGACCAGCCCCAGCTGCTCTCGTCGCCAAACAGTGCCTCAGTGCTCAAAATTAAAACAGAAATCTCAGAACCTATCAATTTTGATAATGATAGCAGTATTTGGAATTACCCTCCCAACAGGGAAATCTCAAGGAATGAATCACCCTACAGTATGACCAAGCCCCCCAGCTCCGAGCACTTCCCTTCCCCCCAAGCCAGCAGTAGTTTACATGTCTCCATTCCAGACTCTGTTCTCACCCCACCAGGGACTGAAAATACTGCCAGCCGCAAAACTCAGTTCAGCACCTCATCCAACTCAGCCTTGGCTCCTGTGTCCTCTGACCCTTTGTCACCCCCGCTTTCAGCATCTCCAAGGGATAAACACCCAGGTGGTCCCACAACTTCCAACTCTTTGTTGTACACTGGGGATCTGGAAGCCCTTCAGAGGTTGCAAGCAGGCAATGTGGTGCTTCCTTTGGTTCACAGGGTAACAGGAACCCTTGCCGCAACAAGCACTGCTGCTCAGAGGGTCTACACCACTGGCACTATTCGGTATGCTCCAGCTGAAGTTACTTTAGCCATGCAGGGCAACCTCCTCCCCAACACCCACGCTGTTAACTTTGTTGATGTTAACAGCCCCAGCTTTGGGCTGGATCCTAAAACACCGATGGAAATGCTCTACCACCACGTTCACCGACTCAATATGTCGGGACCATTTGGAAGTGCTGTGAGTGGGGCCAGTCTGACCCAAATGCCTGCAGGGAATGTGTTCACGACTGCCGAAGGACTTTTTTCCACTCTTCCATTTCCTGTGTACAGCAATGGCATTCATACTACACAGACTCTGGAACGGAAAGAGGATTGAAATATGACCACATACTGTGTTCAGTGTTAAGCTCTGAGGCATAGACTATGTTTTAATTTAGACCTTTAATTCTAGCACTTTGAATTCGAGCAGGTCAGTTTATTCTCTCAATATGACAGTCCCCATTTCATTCCCCTTCTCTTTAACTTGACTTATTCTTTAATGTAAAGATATTTTTTTATTTTTGCCTTCAGAGAGTTGAAGTACCAGTTGCCTGCCATTTTGTCTTCTTCTAAGATGTGTGTTTTTTCCTTTGCATCTTTATTAAGATGCCTTTAATGTGTATGCCTCTGCCATAGAATACTCAGTGTTGTGGTAAAGAGATTTTAAAGTGACAACCATTGGTTTTACTTCAAAATGATCTTGATATGATCAAGATTAAAAGAGACAAGCATAAACAATGTGCCCTGTTTGACTAAGTCAAATGAAAAGGGGTTTTTGTTCCTAATTCCTTTAAAATAGGGGATAGTATTTTAGAATTTTATGCAGAGTTTAATTCTCTTTTTATGATTAAGATTTTCTTACTTGCACATAAAATAATTTGGGTTCTTAAAAAGTTAATTTCTGGCCTGTGACTAGAATGTTGAAAAGTTGGACTAAATGTTAATTACTGAAACTTTAACTTAATTTCTAAAACCATGGTGCTATCATTTATTAATCTGTAATATCTTCATACAATTTGCAGCTTGTGGGCTGGGTTTTTTGAAAAGAATGTGTTCTGTACTGGTCAATAGTCGGGTGCTGCAGTCTCCTTGGTTAGTTAAGACAAAAGCCCTCATTAACATTTGCTGCAGGATTTAAATTTTTTACCTCCAAACTAACAAGCATAGCCTCACATTAAATTTAAATGGGTCAGGAAGCCTTTTTCAAAAAGCGCTTAAAAATAAAAAAACTCAATTTAATTGATGCAAGGAGCAGTTTCTTAGGTGCATATTGTTTTGCTTTGGGGTGTTTTTTTTGTTTTTTTTTTTGTTTTTTTTTTTTCTCAGTGTAACTGAGGCTAATTCTACATCAAATAACACTTCAGAGTTAAAAAAAAAAAAGAAAAAAAGAAAAAAACCACAAAAAAAAAAAAAACCAGAAGAACTATTTAACATGTTTTGTTTTTCATTTAATATTATAGAGGGAAGGTTGTAAATTTCTTTTTGTTCTTTGATTTGGGTATTTTTTGTTGCTTTTTCCTTATTTCTAGTGTTGAAACCAATATGTTATAAAACTAAAGAATGGGTTAATAAGCTTGAAATAGATAACTACAACTGAAAACTGCACATTAAGTAAAAGAGAAGAAATCTCCTATTTTGTCTTCATTGCCAGAAATCACAGTGTAGTGTCAAACACTGCAAATGACTGTCAAATATAAATTCTTCTTCCACTCCATCTTTGGCAGCTGTTTGTTAAGGCATCTAATAACAGATGTGAGAACTGTAATGTGTACAATGTGTAAGTGTCCTTGGCTGTCAGTCCCATTGCAGTTTCAATGTGTGTTACTATATGCAGTATATACTAAGCTAATGTAGTTGTTTTGTCCTTTGTCTTCTCTGTGCTTTATCTCTAGTCTGGAGTGGTAAAGTCCCATTCCTGCAGTCCTAGTGAACCAGTGATTCTTGGGGGTTAGTGGTTTTTGTGTGGTGGCCTTCCTCTGTAATGTCACCTTATGCTGCTTCCACTGTCTGTATACCTTTTAATTTCTGCAGTTGCTTTGCTGTTGTGTATTCTCCAACCTCTCTCTCCCCCACCCCTCCCCTCCTCTCCACGATTCCTGTCTCTTTCTCTTCCTCTCTCGTTCTCTCTTCTTCACTCTCAGAGAAAAGACTCTTAACTAGCTCAAGGTTAATGGAGCCATTTTTCCCACAGAGGAATTCTGGGTGTGACTTACTCTTCCAGTGTACCACACAATGCACTACAGAGTAATGCTCAGATTTATTAAGCAAATTGATGCCATATAGCCTCAGTTGTTAGTTAACATTCCCAGAGTCCCTTGTGCTCTAACCGTAAGCAGAGGGTGCATTTCTTTGGTTTTCTCCCAGGTAGGCTGAGGGAGCAATACATACAGCAATCACCAGTGAGATAGGAAATCCTTTCAAAGATCAACCAATGTCATTTAAAAAGGAAACAGCTTAGAACTCTCCTATATATTTGCTTATGTGTGCAATGCTAATATATTAACTCAGCTGTCCTTTGAATTTTTGATCACTCACTGTGTTGAGTCAATTCCTCCAATAGCTTTGAATTTGAGATGTCAGTTCAAGCTGCTGTGGAACAATAATGAAAGGGAATTGGATGTCACAAATTTAATTAATGAGCTTTTAAAGGTTAAATTTGAAGGATTTAAGTAGGACTAAAAAAGGCAAGAAAGCTGATTGGGAAATTCAGAGTTTAATTTTGGATGCTCTACTTTAGCTATTGAACAATCAAAGGAGTGCACCTATCAGCTACAAAGAACAGCTAGACAGCTGTTGGTTTTTTGTTTTGTTCTGTTTTGTTTTTTATAAATGTTTCTGTGTTGTGTCAAAATGATTTCTGGTGATTTAAACTAACAGATAATCACAGCTGCTGTCTAAATCCATAGTGTTTAAAATTACAAAATGAAAAAAAACTTCATTACCTGTGAAGACTGTGTCTGTGTTTTTAACTATTTCTTGTACAAATATATGAAATCTTTTATGAGGAGACTGGTGCCAAGTAGCTGAATAACGGGGAAAGGGATTCTGTTCGTATAAATCTTAGCAGTGTTACCAACTCTACAATATAAAAAAAATTAAAACCTTAAAAAGTGACAGCTATGGTACATTTATTTTGTGTTAAGCTAACCGAATCTAACTTCTCGAGTGCCTGGCTTATTTGAAACATTTTTTTCATTGATCATTGATAATGCTGCAAATCAGAAATGTACATACTTCATTTACAACAGGGTTCTTTTTATACTTTTGTAGATTCTCATACATGTCATACATGGTTGTCTTTATGTAACTTAATTTTTTTTCATCCCGCAGGTGCCATTTTCATAATAAACTTCTCTTGGATTTGTTACTATCTGGCATCATTTCTTTCACATATAACCATCCTGACTAATGAATGCTGGTAGTATTTGTTTAAGCAGGTATTTTTAAATTGTTTTGTTTAAAAAAAAAAAATAAAAAAAAAATTTTATATATATATATATATATATATATATATATATATAACTAAAAAGAGGATACAGCTAGATTTTGATAACTCTTCGAAACTGAAGAAAAGAAGCTGTCAAGATGTAGGTTAAGAATGCTAATCCAAATACTACAACAAACTTGCCACCATCCTAAATTCTCAGCTACCCCAACTCATTGTCATATTGAGCATTTTTATGCACATTATCAAAGCTAAATAATGGACCTGCAACATTAACCACTATTGACACTGTGCATTTTTTCTTGATTAATGCACACTGGAAGAGGTCAGCTTTTGTACATTAATCATTTAAAATGCATTTTATATATATATTTTTTTTGTACTCTACAGTGTTACAGTGAAAATCTTCAATCACATTATATCCTCTCTCTCTAAACTGCTGATTCTTTTAAATGCGTATTTTCTTTTCCCAAACAGGCAACATGGAAGTTGTTGATGTCCTGTGGCTAGGCTTTCTACCTTACAAACTGAAGACAGAAACATTTACCAATGTAGAAAAAAAGACACAACAAATTCAGAACAAAACTCAGGGCTGGGCAGGTTGGGGGAAAGTTAAATATACTTTAGGTTCAACCACTGTGTGTGGATCAAAAGAGTGAGCAGCAATGCACAGGACTGGATGAACAAAGTTTTTCCAGATTCTGTATTTTATTTTATTTAAGAGTTCTCAATTTCTATTTTCATTAAGAACAAAAAATTTGGCAAAAATCAAGTTAGTGCTGCCCATAGCCAAAACCTACTGCAACATTGGTTTGTCCAAATCTTTTCTTACTTAAACCACTTTGAAAAGCATTGGGCTTGTCGTTCTGGACCAGATTTTGGTTACCTTAACAAAATTGATTAAAACTGCCTATAATCTGTTGCACTGTTTTCTGGTTTTCACAGCATAACAAATACTCAGCGCAAGTAGGAACATCTGCTCACTCCAAAAAAAAAAATGTATAAAACAGAGATGTATGAACAACTGTAGCTCAGTGACCCAGCCCAATAACTTAATAGCCTCAAACCCAGCTCTTTGAGTTCCCAGGAAGCTCAGAATTCCGCTTTCCGGGATCTCAGCATCAAGCTTGATATGCCTCCAACTTTGCAGGGAGTGGAGAGGAGCAGGGGTTAGCAGTGCTGCTCTCAGTTCTGTTCTTGCATGCCAGCTGGCAATGCAGCTTGTTTGTGAGGTAGCTAAGGGTACAGACGCCAACGGAGGGGAAAATGGAATTTAAAAGGAGATTGGAAGAACGATGAGAATAAAGGTTAAGGAAAGAATAACATGCCTGTTCCAAATAAGTGTTAACCAACATTAACTAAAGGTACTAATCCCAAAGGGGGGCTTGAGGGGTTTTTCTGAGCTGTTACAAAGGCTTTTTAAAACTCAGCTGTGCTGACCACTCATTGTATGAGAGCAGAGTTGATGGTTTACATGAATGCACTGCTTGAGGATTCCTAGTTGAACAAGAAGGTTTTCATGTAAAAGAAAGCAACAGAATGACTGTTCAGTGATTTCATTCTTCTAGTAGTGCTCTTACATTGATATAACTCCAGGGACCAGGTTTGCAGCAACTTTAAGAAACAGAATGAACTATTTGAAAGGGTTGAACCCTTTGAAAAGGTATCTTTGCGGTTGACCTAGTAGCTGGTTTGTTTGTTTTTAATAATATTTGGAGAAATAACATGCTGGAAGTTGGATGAACTGAGTCGTAACACCAAAAGAACATTTTCAAAAGCAACTGATCACACTAACTGCTATTTATGAACCACTTGCTTTGCAAAGTGAGATGCCCAAGTACCTAGAAGCTACCTTAACTGTTGCAAGGAAGAAAAAAAAAAAAAAAAAAAAAAAAAGGGGGCTCCTTAGAAGCACTCTGACTCTAAAAAGTCAGCGATGGAAGTTTTGTCAGCCTTACTGAGATAGCCAGTTCTGACAGCCAGCACTGGCACTGCTGCAAGGTGGTCATGTCACTGGAGTAACTGCAATACTCCTGAAAAAACATTTTTTTTTTATGATGCTCAAAACTGCATTAGCTTAAAGGTGTCTATGCATCTGAGCTATTTGCATAGTATTTTTCCTTCTTCCCATTTTAATTTCTTTATTTTTTATTTTAGGGCTGGGGGAGGTGGGTGGAAAGGCTGTATGTGCACTGTCAGCTAACTTAATGAACTGTCCAGCAAGCTCACTATGGAGCCTACAGAAAAAGTGTGAACAAATGGAATGTAACCAGAGCCACAGATTCTCAGGTAAGATCAAACCATTTATAAAACATGCACGTGCATGCACACAGAGACACAATCCACTAACTCTGAAAGCCAGCTGGGCTTTCAAACTGGACACAGTAATACATCTAAATACATATGCATAAGAAAGATCCTTTCTTCTTCTCTCATATCATCTGTTTATCAGAAAAGGTGACCAGTGGAAGCTGTTAACCTCCCTCTCAGCCCAAGTAGCATTTACAAAGTGTATAGCCAGCTATATTTACTGACTTAAATAAGACCCCACTGATTCCTTTGTCAGCTTTGAAATAACCAAATTGCTCTCAAGATCCATTTTTCATGATCCATCTTCATTCCCATACAACTCTTTGCTTCACTAGATCCATTGAGATCTTCCTGAAAGCAACAAAATGTGAGATAAGAACAGATTGCAGAGTTCTGCTTTTAAATGAACAAAATTAGGATTGGTATTCTCCACCACAGTTTTGTTTGGACTACTAAATTTAACAGGGAGAGACTGGAAGTAAAAAAATTAATGACCCAGTCACACAATGGCAAAGTCACACAAATGAAGTCAATAATCGTGAGTTTGATTACACTGGTAGGAAGTTAAAATCTTTTCCATCTTGAGGAGATTGTGCAACCTAGATGAAATGCTAAAAATAAGGGATTTTTTAATAGACATCAGTGCCCAGCAAAGGCTTATGGGAAATCAGTGGGAGAAAGTTTGCATTGCAGTTAGGAGACCTATGGCTCATTTCTTTGTCTCTAATTACTTTTCACTGACTCCAGAGACAATGGAATGTATTGATATTACCTTTCCCATTACAAGCTTTCCTCAGGAAAAGGACCCCCATCTTCGCTGTAATAAAAGGGAACATAATATTTTTTCGCAAAAGGAAGGGAATCAAGTTTTCCTCTTGTTTTAAAAGCATTCACAGATTTATAGCGGAAATGACAGGAACAGGATGTATTAACCATATGACCCCAGCAGAATGACTCTACAGCCTTGACTGATTTAAAAGTTTATTGGTGTCCTCTGGATAGACACAATGAGTCAAGGCTTGGTCTTGTTCAAATCAATAAGACCCCAACTAATGACTTTAATGGCTTTGCGAGAAGGACCAAGGCTTTGAGCCAGTACTCATAAGCAAATAACTATGCACAGCTTATAGCACAAACAATAGATAAATCAGTCTGACTAATTGGTACAATGCATCAGGTTTTCTTTCTAATCCTGTACCACACCATGCACATGCTAACAGGGCAGCTCTTTTTTGTTTAATTAAAAAGTGTTTCCAAGTCTTCCTGAACTGCATGGTCTGATCCTTCCAGAGGTTCCTGTCTAAAAAGAAGTGAGAAGCACAGGTGAAGTTGAAAGTCATTGCTTTCTTGCACTTGCTTTATGGAAATAGGTCTTCAATAAAAAAAGGAAAGGATTCTGGAGCGGAAACTCTGGTGGACATTAAGGCTTCTATTTTCTTGAACTACCAGCAGTGCAAACCCCAATGGCAAACCCCTTAGAGTATCATCCAAGATGATACTTCATAAAGAGATGAGTATTCACTGAAACAAATTTCTGTTCAACACTGTGAATCTCTGAGGCCTCTTAGCACTCTGTTGACTTTTCTGTGCTTTGGTTAATATTTAATTTCTTTCTTCTCGCCAGTTCTCTGCTTTATTATAGCACGTAAGATAGCATCTTGCAAGACAGTAACAAAGGCTAATTTCAATGCAGGAAGTCAAGTCTCCTCAGATTAAAGAAAATTGAAAGAAATAGGATTCTCCAAAGATGTACTTGGAAATGAAAAATACACCCTAGATTCTGTGATATGTTCCCATAGCAAAGGTCCAAGGACTTCATACAGTAAGATCAGTTTCTGAAAATACACTTATTGCTCATTGGCACCATGAGCAAACTCGCTTTCGTTCTCTTTCCTACCTATAGGGAAAGATCCCTGCTCGCTCTCTCTGCTTTTGCCTCTGCTGCAGGGCCTGCAGCCAGTAGGCCTGGCTTCTCCCCCTTTCAGTTCTTAGATAATTTTCTTAACAGAATGCTACTCAAAATTTCCAGCTACACATTGATGTGACTGTTTGCTTTCCATGAAGCTACAACCTCATGCTTTTAGGTTACCTGGATGGCATCATTTTTTCTCTTTTTCCCCCCCAGTACAATTGCTTTTGGTTTTGCCCGTCCTTTGTTAGTTTCACTATGCCTTCAAGCACAAACCCCTCATTACATAGCACTTCCCTAGCGTGATCTATAACCATTACTGCCACTCCCTGGCCCTTGTTATCAAGCCAATTTTATATCCAATCAAGTATTGTACCATCAGTTCCATACTTGCTAACCTTATAAATGAATCTGTTATGTGGCACTGTATTGAGAGCCTTTTCAAGTCCAAGTAAATTATGTCTCCTTCTTCACCCCTGTCCACTCTCATTGTCACTTCCTCAGAGAAATGAATCAAGATTGTTAAGCACGACCTCCCTTTTGTAAATCCATGACGACTATCTCTAACCAAACTATATAAGGTTGGTATTAAATCAGGACACACACTCAAAGGGGATCTGCTATAAAGTGCAACCTAAAGATGCTTCATGTGGAGATGAGACATGGGAACCACTGATAGACTAAAGGTTCTGATGTTACAGGTCTGATGGTTTGCCGATAACTTCTTAGTGATCAAATTTCTGCCTGGGGAAGCAACCAGAACTCCACCAGAGAAGGGGGGGAGGAGGCGGAAGCATTTACATTAGTCTAGCATGTTTCTGTCACAGAAGATCATTGAGGATAAAGAGAGAATGAACTGAGTTCTGCTTTTGTTCATCTATGATGGAGCCAGAACCAAAAGACATTAAAAGAAAACCTCATATTTTCTTGAATACTCTTCTACATGTGTAAAAGCCATGACTGGAAGTAGTTCAACTCCCTCATGAAACTCCCTCTGTCTTTTCAACAGTGCTTAATATTGAGCATATTCCTTTCCACTGATCAACAACAAGTCTAATACAATAAGAAAGGAAGAGAGGTATGGGTTCTTTCAGGAAATTTCTAATTTAAGAGCTTCACAGACAAAAGTGCCTGCACATCATGACTTTCACAGGGGAGAAGGGTATTGTCCCACAGCTTCTGAGAAGTGCTATACCTGCATAACCTAGCTTACGTGTCAAAAGGCTACATGAGCATATACTTCTTGCACAGGCACAGCAGAAGGACATGAAGACTTCTGCACTTCAAGGCACTAGAGAACACAGGTACTGCATCAAATGCATCAGTTTTCTTCCACTGTTCTGTAAAGAAGAGTGAGAATTAGGTAAAGGAAGGTATAGAGGAAGAAAGAAAGGGAGGAACAGCTATTCTATTCAGTCCTGGTTCCTTAGGGAATGATCAGACTGCCATTGAGACATTTGGGATCTTGCTTCTCTTGAAGGATGTGCCTGCTCCTCCTACATGATGCTGCTGAACAACACCAGGGGAACAACTCTTTGCATGGAGATATACAATATGAGAGGTGGGCTGAGAAAGCACAAGGTGCAGCTGGGCAAGTTGTGCCCCACGTCCCCTTCTTGGCTGGCTGGGGTAGGGAAACAGCCTGCATAAGCACTATGCAAAAAGATTCTTGGCAGTTAATTCTGGAAGCATTTGAAGTATAACTCTGGAATAATTTACTGGCCTTTCTGCCTCTGTGACTGGAAATATCTCCCTCAGTGCTGTAAGCATAATTGCTGCCTCTTTAGCTTGAGTAGGGGGAAAAAAAAAAAAAGATCCCAACAGTCTGTCTTGAGCTTGTTTGACAATATACATACATCAAGCATGGTGAGATCCAGATGGGTCAAAGCCATCCCTTGGGAACCTAACCTTTGGCCTCCTGCCTCACAGCACTCCCCAGGTGCTGTGGAGGGAGCCCTCTTATCTACACCCTGTGGAGGATCATTGCTATTATATGTATGTATTTGGCTCCCTTGTGTCTTCAAATCAGAAATGCAGCAGTCAGTGTACAGTGGAGAGATACTGCTGTGGGAGAGTTCAGCCCAGTCAGTGCTGCTGCAGGACATAGAGTTTCTGGCAAACATCCACTGAAACAAAGGAAAGAGGCCCCCAAATCAGTCTGGCTTGCTTTCAAGGCCTTGACCCTGTAACAGCCAGTGCAGACATGCTCAGAAAAATAATGTGCAGAAACAGTAGGTCAATGCAGAGAAGCATAACTAAAAGATAAGGGTTAGAAGGGTATAAAGAAATAGTTGGAGCATGTCTTCTCTGTTCAGAAAAGATTGTTCACCCTCCTGAAGATGAATGAGAAGTTTTGAAGAGGAAGTTAAACTATTGTGTACTTCTCAGGCAAATAAAAAAAGCAGAAAAGAAAAAAATTATAATCAAAGCAGAGCTCAAGATGACAGAATTATCACATCACTAGTACTCACAGCTAGAATATTGTCATTGGCATAATGATACATTACTTCTACATACAGTCCCACAGGCAAAGAAATACGGCTTAGTATCAAGTGCATAACACAAAGTCATACGTATAATCTTAAGTATCAAACATCCTTAAAAGACCAGCTATTGGCTAGACATATGCCACAGAAAGTTCCATCAATTAGTGAGTTACACTCCATACACTTCAGGCAGAAATTATTTTTCAGAATGAAGCATGGGTGATAGATTAGATGACAGTAACAGTCCTTCTGGCTACAAGACCTCATGAAACAGTGACCTTACTGATACCAGTAAGGAATCTGCTCCACACACGTGCAAATTATCTGTGGAGTTAAGGACTAGACAAACAAATCAGGAATAATAAAAAGTGAACAAAAACTGCTAAATAAGAACAGCAATAAAATTATCTGTCATGTCTGTAAGCTTCTGCCTATGCTTGCCATTGTATTTTTGCAAGCAAATAGTGATTTTTGTAAGGAATAGAAAGTATCTTCTCATTGTTATGTTAACTCTGTTTCCTGTAGCAGGTAAATTGTACCTGCAGGAATCACAGAGCTCTGCAGTCAAGACATCAGAAGGAGAAGAGAGGGATCAGACACCTGAGAAACAGACATCTGAGATAAGATAAAGCCTTACAATACAGGCAAGATATTTTTTCAAATTCTATGAAGTAGCTATAACACCCTAGGCCCTCAGTTAGAACACACACACAAGCTTTCTTTCCTCATTGCGAACCTGAGCCCTCATTGCAAATGGAAAGGTAACTCCCTGGAGTCCACATCCCACAGAAAAGTGGAAAATCCCAAGTTCCTCCTTTGGGAAATTCATGCTTCACCTTAAAAATCTTCCCTTCTGCTATTTTGGCTGAATCCAGAAGAAGCAGTAATTGTAGAGAGAGTAAAACAGATCTAAACAGATACGTAAAACAGATCTAAAAAACAGGCCCCTCTAATTAGATACATGTGTGTAGTGATGCTACATAGTAGTGATACTACAGCTGTTAGTAGTAGAAGTTGTATTTGTACCAGTAGTGGTGGTGTACTGTAGAAGGAGCATTAGCATCAAACCTACTGTCCCATAGCAGTGATAGCTGTGGAGACTAACCAGTTGAGATATTATCAAGATTAGTTCAAAGTAATCTTGGATTCCACTGTGTTTATGGGATCGCACTTAACTAAGAACATTTACTTTCCTTCCTTGCCCCCTACTTGCTCCTATCCTTTTCTTTGTTATTGATAGACTTCTCCCCCCCTCCCCCCCCCTTCATTTCTACATAATATTATACACTTTCAGAGGTCAGAAAAGTAGGCAACTTGAAGGCTTTCATTTTGAAATATTATTTGTCTGTTAACCTTTTAATACAATCATTTGATGACTGCATATGATAGCAGTATTTAATACACTCTGGGCTGACAGATAAGATACAAGGCACAAATCAGAAAATATCCAAAGACTCAATCACCACAAAGACAGCCTGTCTCTTCAAGAAATGCCTAAAATAATATTTCCTAAAAAAAAAAAATAAAAATCCACACTAGCAATTAGGAGGGTTTCATCATCATAGGTCACTGGCTCTCAGACAGATTTCACATTTATAATTTGCCACAGTGGAAACTTGCAACCTTGAAAGAAGCATGCAAGAAGCTTTTCTTTACTTGTCTGAAATGCCTGGTAAACTGTGTAAAGTTATACACCAGAAATAACACTTTCTTTGATGGCATAGGATACTTTGGAGGAGGCCTGCAAGGCAATTTCTGCTCCATATCATAAGAATATATTACAGGCAAGAACACCAAGAAATACCTAAGTCCTGATTACTGTCTCAAAGCAACTTAATAATAATAAAACAAACAAGCTTATTCGTAAGTATTAGATGGAATTGAAATCTGATTACACTTTCATGCGATTTCCATTCGTATACTGTACAACCCCATGCAGAAAAATATAGGTAAGTGGCATGTGCTTTTTGTGAAGCTGACCCACACAATGAAATGGTTTATGAGAAGTGACAATATATGATGAGAATACAAAACTTTGATAATAGGCGCATTTATTGATTGAAAATAAAATTCATGAACTGCAAAGCAGAGAACTGCACCAGTGGGAACTGTTCCAAGAGGACATTAGGAAGTGAGAGAGTGACAGAGAGTATGCATGTGTATTACACATAAACTAAGTTAAAGGTTGCCTAAACGCTTCTGATTCCACAAGCAGAGCCTCTGAGGATAGGATCTGAAAGACTTTAATGCTGGTAAGGTTTTCTCAGTATGATATTTGCATATTTTGCCTAAAAACCCACAATGCTGTATTAATTCATTTTTATTTACCTTTCTGCAGCTTCCAAAAGAAACCTCGCAGGAAGCCATTAATGACACAGCTTCATAAGAGATAATTTTCAGAGAGGCTTTGTGGGTAGTGACTGAAGGGGGGAAAAAAAAAAAAGTGTGTGTCAAATTTAGGTTATTAACAACATAATCCTTAAACAGACGGTATCTCAAAGACTAATTCATCTTCAAATTTGACTGTAAAAACCGCATGATCCTTCACTCTGTGTGCATGCAAATTTATATCATACCTTTTTTTTTTTTCTTCATGTTTATTAGGGGAATGTGACTAGAAAAGGAAGGATGAGAGTTCTGAAGCACAATGCTGGAGGCTAGAAAACAATTTCACCTTCACTACCACTATCACTCTCATTCAGATTCGGGTCCCATTCCTGGTCTTGCAGTTCACCAGCAAAACCGCTGCGCACAAAGCTTCCCCTACAGAACATGGATAAAGCTGTGCACCTTTCCCTAGAGCACTGCCTGGACACGCTGGTCTGATGGGCAGCTCTCTGCAGGGCACTCCCAGCAAGTCACAGCCCAAGCACTTTACTCACCTGGGTTGCATGCAGGGAGGGGTTTGCCTTCCCTGGCACCACACCAAGGGAAGCTGGATTTCCATGACAACTCTAAACAAAATCACACTGGAATCTATTTCATCTTGGTTTCTCTATACAGAATGGGATCTGGCGTCCCTCCTTTGTTTCCCATTTCACAGTGGTAGGTATTTGGAACAAGGATGTTTTATTAACTTAAATAATTCTTTGCATTTCGTCGAGTGCCAGGTTCTCAGTGGACGAACAAGCTGAATGAGAAGCAATTGCTCTGAAAACTGTGACAGCAAGAAGGCATGAGTCCCATTTAATACAATTTTAACAGCATGACTTGTTCATCACAATACAAAAAAGCAGTTGTGGACTATTTGAGCCTCAGCCTTTTCCCTGCACAAGGATGATATACCAAAACTTTTGCATCTTCCCACACCGAGAGAAGAAAGGCCCTTCTCACATGAGTTTATAATATTCAGTATAAGCTTCTTTTAAATTTTCCTGTTGCTCCTGTTCCCTGGCTTTCTTCCTCCCTCTACTGGGATCCTTTAAAGATCTGTAATTTATTAGAGGCTTCCTCTTTCTTCCGGTACTTTTCTGCTCTGGATGCTCTATTTATAGTTTTTTGTAGCATCCAAATTTTACCCATTCAATTTCTGCTGAAAGGCAAATAGTTGCCTGTTATAATTTTCAGTTGGTGTTTTGTTACCCTGTTTTTTCTCCCCTCCTCATAAATGGAGGCGTTGCACATGGAAAATCCCAACACCAGCTGGGCTGACAGCTATTGTTCCAGACCAATACATTGCTCTGCAACACATTAAGTCAGGCCTCTTCCAAAGCTGCCTAGCAGCAAACCTCAAAGGCCATCACTAATTGTGACATAGGAAGATAGAGGGGAAAGAACAGAAGATGTAGGTATCTTCAAGCTGTGCCATTTCATGAAGCAGTTAATAGAGTAGAAAACAAAGTTGGGTAGTTGAG